GGAAGAGAGAGGCCAGAGGGGGGATGCTCGAGGGAGAGAGAGGGGATTCAGGGGGGTGTCGTGGCATCCTTAGTCGATCCAGGGCGGGGCGGCAAGCAGGAGGTGGCTCGGCGCATGCGCGCGCGCCGCGGCCACACGTTCGTCCTTTTGTCCGACGAGGAAGACGACAGGAGGAGCTGCGGTGGTGGGCTGGGCCAGCAGTGCTGGGCCGCCAAGCGGGACAGGTAAGCGCCAGGTAAGTCCTTCTCTCTTTCCTTTAATTCTGTTTTTCTATTTTTGTAGTTTGTTTTTGATCCAGTTTTAAAAACCAAATCAATTTTATAAATCCTGAAAATATTCATGAGCACTTTCTGAATTATTTCAGTGTCCCATAAATAATTCCAACATTATTTGAGCATTTAAATTATTTATAGTGTTTAAATGCCCAAAGTCAAATACAATATGATTTAATTCAAAAATCCAAAAATGATCTAAGAATATATTCATCATTTTTGGCAGAGGTTTCCACCTTAACCAGAAATCATGAACTTTTCTTAGGGACTTTTTGGGTTTATTGAAAAAGATTTTAATCCATCCTAGTTGAGTTGATTTAATGCTAGGGTTTGAACATCCCCAATTCAGATTCATTTGAATCTTAAATATGATGACATGATGATCAACCAAAGATAACAGGGACTGAGCTAGGGTTGTGACACCGACAACGGGTTCGCCTCCGCTGGCTCCGTGACGGCGACACTAACGTCGTGTTCCTTAAGATCCAGGCCGCCCACCGCGCTCAGAAGAACTACATGGCCGGCATCCGGGTGGGATCGCAAGTCCTCACCGCCGATGTGGACATGGCGAAAGCTGCATTCGCACATTTTACCTCCATTCTTGGCTCCTCTGCCCAAAGAGAGTACTCCCTCGACCTAGATGGCATCGCCCCCCGCCTCTTTGATCTACTCGACCTTGAGCAACCTTTCACGGAGGATGAAATTTGGAACGCCGTGAAGAATCTGCCTACGGGCAAAGCACCCGGACCAGATGGGTTCACGGCAGAATTCCTGCGTGCGTGCTGGACCACGATTAAGTCCGACATCTGCGAAGCCTTCGACAAGCTTTTCGTCATGAATGGCATGGGATTCCAGAAGCTTAACGAAGCATTGCTTGTTCTGCTTCCCAAGAAACCGGACGCGTCCGCGCTCTCTGACTATAGGCCTATCGGTTCGATCCACATCGTCACCAAGCTTTTCGCCAAGGTCCTCTCCCTTTGTCTGGCGCCTAGGATGAGCCATATCGTCTCCACCAACCAGAGAGCATTCATTGCCGGCCGGAGTGTGCACGACAACTTCCTCCTTGTCCAGCAAACGGCGCGTCTGCTTCACAATCTCAAGGCCCCGCGCATTCTTCTCAAGCTTGACATTGTGAAGGCCTTCAACACCGTCTCTTGGCCCTTTCTCCTTCAAGCTCTTCGCCACCTTGGCTTCGGACACCGCTGGTGCGAATGGGTTTGCATCCTGGTCTCCACTGCATCCACGCGGGTTCTCATCAACGGCAACCCAGGCCCTCCGGTGGACCATGCTTGCGGGCTCCGCCAAGGCGACTCGATATCTCCGCTCCTCTTCGCGATCGTGATAGACACCCTGAACTCCCTCCTCCAGCATGCGGTCCGCGCGGGCATGTTGCAACGGCTTACCAACCGCCATGCCGCCTCCAGCATCTCTTTGTACGCCGACGATGTGGTCGTCTTCTGCCACCCGACCACCACGGAGCTTGCTACCATCCGCGAGCTGCTTCGGATCTTCGGCGAGGCCTCGGGTCTCCGCATGAATTTTCTTAAGTGCTCGACTACCCCCATACGGTGCGATGAGGAGGTGGCTCCGATCATAAGCTCCATGCTCGCGTGCACAGTCACCAGCTTCCCCTTGGTATACCTAGGCCTCCCACTGTCCGTGCGCAAGACACCCTCCTCGTCCTTGATGCCGCTTGTGGACAAGATCTTGCGGAAGCTAGCCACTTGGAAAGCTACACTCCTGACCCGTGGCGAACGCCTTGCGCTCGTGCGCCACGTGCTCTCCGCTATGCCCGTGCACATCCTCATGGCCATCGCCATCAACCCGACTATTCTCAAGAAGATCACGCGGATCATCCGCGACTTTCTGTGGCATGGCAGGCATGATGCCAGATCCGGCAGCTGCCTCGTTAGCTGGCCGCGCGTCTGTTGACCTCTCGAGTTCGGCGGCCTTGGCGTGCGTGACTTGCACCTCACCAGGATTTCCCTGCGCTGCCGCTGGCTTTGGCTCAAAGCCACCGACCCCTCGCGGCCTTTGCATCATCTCCAGCTCCCCGTCGACGATGTGACGTCCAGCTTCTTCCGCGCATCCACAACCTGGCACCTTGGTGACGGGAGAACCTGCCTCTTTTGGAGTGACCACTGGCTCGACGGCCAGGCCCTCTCCGACCCCCCGGCCTTTTCACTCTCGTGCCAAATCAACGCAGACGGCGAACCCTGGTTCGGGAGGGCCTTGAGCAGCACGCCTGGATCCGCGACATCCATGGCACGCTTAAGACTCCCGGAGGTTATTGAGTACGTCAACCTTTGGCGAAAGCTGCAAGGCATGAGCCTAACCACCACGCCTGACACGATATCCTGGCATTGGACGACAAATGGCAGTTACTCGGCCAAGTCTTGCGATCTTGCTCTCTTCCACGGATCCACTACGCCGCCCTCATGGAAGCTTCTTTGGAAATGCTAGGCGCCCACCAACTGCAAGTTCTTTCTCTGGCTTGCCTCCCTGGACCGGTGCTGGATGGCCGAACGCCGTGCACGGCACGGCCTCACGCACTACGCCGTTTGCATCCTATGTAAACCCGGGCATGGGCAGCCCGGCCCGAGCCCGGCCCGAAAAACCCGGGCCGGGCCGGGCTGGGCTTGACATTCGGGCCGGGCTCGGGCTTTGTTTTTCAGCCCGAAAGATAGTTCGGGCCGGGCTCGGGCTTCAATTTTTCCGTATTTCGGGCCGGGCTTTTCGGGCTTCGGGCCGGGCTTGCACGTGCGCGTACTAAAAAACAACATTCGGGCCGGGCTTTCGGGCTTCGGGCTTGACTTCGGGTCGGGCTCGGGCTTGAAAATGTGGAGTATTTCGGGCTTCGGGCCGGGCTCGGGCTTGAGAAATGAAGGTCGGGCTTTTACAAGCCCGGCCCGAAACCCGGCCTGGCCCGACATTTGCCCAGGTTTAATCCTATGTCATCAGGAGACAGAATCCATCGACCATCTCTTAGCTGGTTGTGTATTCGCCCGGATCACATGGCATGAAATCTTGGCCTGGTGCAGGCTCGTCACCCCACCCATGGATAGCGCGACGACCTTCTTCGCATGGCGGGCACTCACGGCCGACACCTCGCCGAGCGGCCTGCGCAAATGGCTCAACTCCATCGTCGCTCTTACCGCTTGGGCCATCTGGAAGCACCGCAACGCCGCCATCTTCGACGGCCTTCACCCCTCTACCGACGATCTTGTGCTTTCCATCCAAGATGACGCTCGCCTATGGGCTAAGGCCGACGCCAAGGGACTAGCCGCTATTATTCCTGTAACCTGATCATATGTAACGAGGCTGAGCACCCTCCCTTCCTTGCTCGCTGCATCCATCCAGACGCCTCCATGTGTACGTCTGCATGGATGCCACTTGTATCAACTTCTTTCCCAATCTATCAATGAAATGATACGCTGCTAAGCGTATTCACAAAAAAAATCGTCTTGAGACCTCGTTTCTGGCTATTTTGGACGCTCCCACAAAACAAAACGTTTCGACTTAAAGTAGTACCCCTGTTTGAGAGGCAAATTACCAGAGAACTGCCACTGTTGGGCGGAGGTCGGCCGCGCCCAGAAAAACGAGTCGCACGACTCGTCACTCTCCTTCGCTCGATCCCCCACCTCCCTACTCGCGCTCGCGATAGGGATACAGGGCCGCCGCCGCCGCGCCGCCCGACAGCCCGCCCCTCCCGCTCGCCTGAAGCCGCTGCTCTGCCCCGCACGCTCGCTTCGAGGCCCGCAGCCGTTGCTCCGCCCCGACCACTCCTTCGCCCCGCCTGCTCGCCTCGAGGCCCTCAGCCGCTGCTCCGCCCCGGCCGCTGGCCTCGACACCCGACGCCGCCTCGCCGGAGTTTGCTCGGGCCGTCGCCTAGGCTGAGCTCTCATCTCCTCTCTGCTTCTCTGTTCTGTTCTGGGTGCAGCTCTATTCCTTCTTGTTCGTCTCTGTTCCTAGTTCTTCTCTGTACATGGGAAAATGGATGGATGTTTGTTTGTTTGGTAGGAGTAGATGATTTGCTTGATGGCTGAATGGATGTATGCTCGTTTTCATGCTCATATTCGACAGAAATTGTCCAAAACAACTACTGTAAGTCTTAGCAATTCAACACACAGTTTTAGTTCAGGGACATTACAGACATTTTTAGCACACAACTCATCCCATAATCTCAGACCACAATCTTAGAAAAGAACTCGACAGCTGATTCTGGGTGATTCTGCAGGAAACTGATTCTGGGTGATTCTGCAGGAAACTGATTCTGGGTGATTCTGCAGGAAACTGAGTTTGGGGGAAGTTTCTCAAAAGCTGATTTTGGAGACTGCGCGGCGGCTATTTTGCGGCGGAGGAGGGGTATGTGCATTATTTTGTCTCTGCATAGTAGCGATTTGAATTTGATAAGTATAGGCATAAGAGGGGAGATTGGAGGCGGTGGAGATGCAAATCCTCTCGCGCTCGATTACTTGAAGCGTCAGCAGGGTTGCCTCTGCTCTGCCTCGCTGCTGGTTTCCAGCACTTGCGCGAGGAGATGCTCCACTCCAGGCTTTAGTACGGGCCTGTCGAAATCAACATCTTGATCGTCTTTTCCGTGAGAAGAGTACACTGAATTGGCCGCGCCAATTCTCCATACATGGCGTGAATGAGACGAAGACTAATAATGCAGCAGAGGACAGTGTCCAGACGTTAAAGACTAGTTTAACTGAAGATATATGTTACATGCCGATAATTTCAGGGAGCAGCCACCGTGATGGTGCTATATACAAGAGAGCGGCTCACTGGGAGCATAATTACTTTTTTGATATCACTGACCGTACAGAGACTCGGTTGGAGCCAGCGCGTGCATACGATATACCACGTAACATGATGCAGATCTTTTCAATGAAGTTAGCTAAAGCTCCTATCAACAGCGGCTCAATACAGTTATACGGATATATAGCAGCACATGATGAAGTTGATCTAAGACTGAATTATGTTTTCAATCGTAGCAGCGATGATCCCATCACCGTGCAGCAGGGTTCTCTAATTGAAATGAACGGCCCTAAGAGAGCCATCCTGTTGATATTTGATGTGCTACTTGAGTTTGACATGAGGATCAAGAATGGGGAGAATGAAGAGGATGATTTGCAGCTGATTGATGGAATCTCAGAATTTTACGGTTTACGCATGTCGTGGAGACCGCACGAGGTTCGCATTGGTGGAAATTGTGGTGCAGTCGATACGTCTTTTGCACTTGTTCATAATTCAGTCGAGGCCACAGTACAAGTTATCATATCAAAAGTGCAGACTGGCTTTGATTTATCTCTCAGTTCTACGATTGCTCTTCTGGAGATGAATAAAGAATTCCAGCTCTTCAGTGGAAATATTAGTGAGTCCTGTGGCTTAGGAAGCTTTGTGATTGCTGTCACATGGGATACGCTTATGAATTTGAAGTTCAAGGTTGATCACCAAGGCCGTAACAATAATATTGAACGCAATTGTTCCTTCAAAGCTAAGCTAAATGGACACGCCAGCCATCAGCTAAATCTCGAGACTGCCTCAATTTTAGTTAAGGTGACTTGGGCTGTGTTGCCTGCATAGTTGAGCAGTTAACAGTATTGTGTAATCCTGCACTGAATGGATATGTTTACTTGGGTAAATGTTGTTTGCAGTCATGAATTCTGGTATTAACTACTGTATACCTGATGTGATTGCTTTCTAAGAAGATCACTTTGAAACCTGCAGTTGTGCCGAAAGCTGGGTCAGTTTTCGTCCTCCAAGCTGATTGCTGGAAGGTGACACCGATCAGCGACAAACTGTCACCAAAGGAGAAGTTGAAGGGAAGCCAGCGTCTGCAGCGTGCGCAATCACTGATCAGATAGAGTTTCGAGCCTGTTAGACTCTGTTTTTTGACGAATTTTGCCCAGATGAACCCCTAGAGTTTTTCTTGTTTAGTCTTTGTTTCTATTGATTAACATCAGTCTATCCCTTCATTGCTTAGCACCTGGCAGTTCTTGTTGCTCCACATTGTAAGCCTCTCACACCTGGCAAAGACGCAACACTGAGAAATTCCTTGGTTAATTCGAACACGCTTGTTGTGCAAGCTACATCCTTGTAGGATAGCAACTACCATACCATGATCAATCACAGCTCTTTATCAGATTTCTTTTTGATCAATCATAGGTGAGCAGTTGAGGTTTATGTTACTGGCCGGGTGAAAGTTTGGGTGTCGCGTTGCTAACGTGTTGCCTCGCTTGCTAGCTTAGCAAGCAGGCGTGTATTGCAGCGCTGAGGAAACAATAACCTGTGGGCTGTGGCTGGAGCGGCGGCACCGGCGCAGGATGAAGCTGGTTGCGGCGGATCCCTTGCCGTGGGAAGGACTCCGGCATGGAAGACGACGCTGCGCTATTAGTTATACAGTGGATAGACGCAGGAGGTTTTGGGTGCTGTTATTAAACACCCTCATCCGGTGTGTGAATCGTCGCCGTCGTGTACCATGAGGAGGTGTTTGTTTCGCGTCTATTTGTCCGTTATCCGATTACAGCGGGATCTAATACCGTTAAACATGTTTGGTTTACTTGGCCTGTAACCGATTACCCTGGAAACAAATACCAGCGCAGAGCAAGGCCCATTCCGCCCATGACCCACCGGTAACGATTGGCGTTACCGCTCCCTCGTCCCTTCGTGGATCTCCTTGGCCTTCCTCCCCTAATCTGGAACCTCGGCGAGCACGCCCGCCTGCCACCTAGAACCCCCCGTCATCATGCCGTCGCTGGTGCCGGCGTGGGGGCCGACGGCGACGGCATGTCGCCCTTTTTCCGTGGTGTTGGTAGGTTTTTTTCTCGCCTCACGATGCTCCTGATTGAGACGGACGCCATGGCTGCTCCCCATGGAAAGCTCTGATCATCCAGACCATCGGAGCAATGAAGGCAACATGCGGCAGCACAATTCCATTTTCTGAGATCGTGATTCCATTCCCTGAGATCAACCAAACACGTTTTCATTTGACCGCATTCCCTTTACATTAACAGCGTAAGTTGATACAGATTACGTTTGCGTTTACAGCGCCGAACCAAACACCTCCTCAGTAGCAGTCTGTGCCGCCCCTGCTGAACCAGGGGCCAGCCACGCCAATCCTCTCCTCTGTGCGAACTAGCCTCAATTCCACAAGATGACATGAGGGCATGGTGTACAGAATGACTGAAGAAGGATGGCACATCGGCCAGCGTAGGGAAAATAGGCGATGTGGCGAGGCCTGGTGGATGTGTGAATTCTATAGGTCATGTGCACATGCCGGTTATCCATCCGTTCCTGGTGCCTCTTATGCCTACACTTAATCAAATTCAAATTGCTACTATGCAGAGACAAAACAATGCACTACACAGGAATGATGAACAATAGCAATACGTAAAAGTAAGATGAGGAACAGGGAGGACCGCTCCTTTTATAGACGACTTGGGCACATGCGGTACAGCTAGTGACTTGAAGTCATCGGATCTCTGTTGGCTCGGTAGCTAAGAATACTTTGGTCATGAGCTTGGTCCTTAGGTAGGTTAGAGCCCATGAGATCCTTACACAAATGATGAAATTTTTGTGCCTGTTTCTATTCGGGGTAGGTCAGAGGTAATGGTAACTTAAAAAAAATGATAAATTTCCTAAGCTTGTTTGTCCTTGGCTAGATCAGTCTATTGGGTCACAAGAGCTTTAAACAAATAATATTTTTTTTAAAGTTTTTTCAGGTATTGTTCTTTGGTCTCTACACATGTGGCTAGCCAACATAAAAGGGCTAAGATCACGTACTCCTACTCAATCTGATCAAGATAAAGGTTCTGGAAATAAAGGAAAAGGAACTGGATCTAATGGGCAAGACAAAGTGAGCTAAGTAGAACCAATTTTGGCTAGTTGTAACCATCTTCGGACTCAGACTCGGATCCGGACAAATTTCTAGCATGTTAATTAGGTTATGCCTCGTCTTGGCCTAATAAACCAGTCATAAATTTACTTTTCTCCAGAATGTCTCATATGCAGAAAAATGTTTGTACCTTAATTTTGCATATCAAAAGAGTATGTTTGAAATTTTCTCCTTCTATGCATTGTTCAAACTTGAATTCCAACAGCTACCATGCGGCCACCTTTCATAGAACCATAGTCCAATCCTAGCTGCCACTAGTAGTTACATAGTACATGCGGTATTCTATCATGTATCAACTCAAAACATGGCTAACACCAACTGAACCGATAGGTCCTCCGGCCTTTTTCACGCTCGGAAGGGGCACTCTTGAGTTTCAAGATTGAAGCATAGTAGCCACTGCAGGAAACTGAAACGGAAGGAAATTTAAACATACCGTAAATCTCGTCTCCAGCGTCGAAAATGGCCCGCACTTTCCGCCACTACCCTGACTACAGTAGTCTCAAATGTGTTTTATTGGGAACTAAGTTACCAGTTGATAGTTGTCCGATTGCGTCAAATAGCTCAACTAAGTTGTTGTATAGATTTCTTTTAGAACGAAACCACGAGAGGGGCTCGGCTTTAAAATAATAAATCTATAGAATTTTACTAAATATGTTTTGAAAGATTAACAAATTTGAGAAGGTGTAAGTGGCATCATTATCCGTGACACTACAAACACTTTTGGAATTAAGGCAGAGGACAACCACTTCCGAGGTACTTACTATCCCGCTTTCTTAATGCAATATTTGATTTATAGTTTGCCGGAGAGCATGTCTGTTACAACCTTTTCTCTTGTTCTGGAAGATTGCACTATTAATCTTCTCTTGGTTTTTCTTTTCTATGGCTAATCCGATACTTCCTTTTCCCATTGACCGTGCTAAATAATTTGACTGCAACTCTTCATCCAACCATTCTCATCGAGTTGTCAAAGAAACACCATGAAATAAGTCAACTAATAAAATTGGCATAAGGATGGTACTCTAGGAAACCGGGGTGGAACACACTGTTGTTCTTTTTCCCTTTAGGTCCGCACTTAAAATTTACATGACAAAAGTTCAAGCAACCATGTTTTTCAGATTCTTTCTCCAAAACATTGTATTCTACTCACTCAACCGAACTGCTTTCTCCATAGGGGTTCGTAACGACATATGTTCTGTGTAGTTATTGATCCTATTAATTATGCATACCTGATGGGATTGCTTTCTAAGAAGCTCACATTGAAACTTGCAGTTGTACCGAAAGCTAAAAAAATTCATCCTCCAAGCTTATCGCCGCAAGGTTACACTGATCAGCGAAAAAATCTCACCCAAGGAGAAGTTGAAGGAAAACCAACCTCTACATCGCGCCCAATCACTAACCAGATAGAGTTTCCAGCCTGTTAGACTCTGTTTTCTCACAAGTTTTATCCAAAGGAACCTCTATAGTTTTCTTGTTTAGTTGTGGTTATTATTGATTGACGACAATCTATACCCTCCTGGCTTAGCACATAGTAGGTCTTCATGCTTAAGCTTGTAAACTTATAAATCCCGACAAAGGTGGAACATGCTTCTTGTGCAAGTTGCATCCTTGTAGGATAGTAATACCATGACCAGTCGTACTTGAGCTCAAGTAGCGTGGATGTGATGCTTTTTTTGTTGTTTTGAGGTGTGCATGATGCACACGATGGTACGGATGGACAAATAGTCGATGTGGAGAGCCATGATGGTTGTGTGAATTGGATAGGTCAAGATACATTTATAGTTACCCATTGTTTCCTGGTGCCTCTTATGCCTACACTTGTCAAATTTAGATTCCTCGTGTGTAGAGACCAAATAATGCACCTAATAGGAATGGATAATAACAATACATTAAAGTAACACGAGGGATGGGAAGGATCGCTCCTTATAGAAGACTTGGGTATGTGTCATATAATAAGTAACCTGAAGTCATTGGATATCTGTTTGTCCTTAGTTATGATATTAGTACTTCTGTAGGAAAGAGCCTATGAGATCTTAAACAATTGATGATTTTTTTTTTGCGAGATAATAATTGATGAATTTCTTGTGCTTGTTCTACTCGGGCAGGTCAGAGGTATTGTGAACTATAAAACAAATGATGAATTTACTGAGCTTGTTTGTCCTCGGCTAGATCAGTCCACCGGAGAGTTGTATTGTTCTTTGGTCTCTACACATGTGTCTTGCCAACATAAAAGGGCCAAAATTACGTACTCGACATGACAAAATGAGCCAAGTAGAACCAATTTTGCCTAGCTGTAATCATCTTCCGACTCAGACCCAGACAAACTTTCTAGCATGTTAATTAGGTTGTGCCTTGACTTGGCCTAATAATCCAATCAAACATTTACTTTCCTCTAGGATGTCTTCTTATATTCAAAATATGTTTGTACCAGAATTTCACATGGCAAGGGAGTATGTTTGATTTTTCCCCCTTCTATGCATTGCTCAAACTTGAACTCCAACAACTACCCTACGATCACCTTTCACAGAACCACAGTCCAGTCGCACTAGTAGATACGTAGTACATGCAATATTCTATCATGTATCGACTCAAAACATGCCCAACTAAACTGATAGATCCTCCAGCCTTTTTTCATGCTCGAAAGGGACACTCTTGGGTTTTAAGATCGAAGCAAAGCAGCAGCTACAACAAACTAAAACAAAAGGAAAACTGAAACAGATCCCAAATCTTGTCTCCACCGTCAAAAATGACATGCACCTTCCGCCACTTCCTCAACTGCAATCATCTCAAATGGGTTTTATTGAGAACTAAATTATTATTTGATAGTTGTCTGATTGTATATAATAGCTCAACTAAGTTGTTGTATAGATTTCTTTTAGAACAAAAGTGTGAGACGGGCTTTGCTTTAAATTAATAAAGCTATATAATTTTACTAAATACTTCCTCCATCACAAAATAAGTGTATCAATTTTA